TTCCAGCTCTTGGGGTATTCGCAGTGCCCAATGCCCTCTTTTGGCACCCAGGGAGAATCACTGCCCTGCAAACATGTCACAGGTAAGGCCGGGGGCACAGGAGTCAAAACAAAACGGCAGAAGCATGGGTGATTCACGTAGTGCCACACATGGGCTCCCGAGGTAAGTTAAATTCTCACCCCAAAACAAGCAGGGCTTTGCAAAGACCCCTGGATCCTTCCTTCAGCAGTGCTAAGGACCCTGCAGGGCGCGTTCATCACAGCTCTGCCTTAGCCCATGGAACGACGCTTGCAGTCACCTCTCCGGGTTGTTCGCACAGCCCGGTCACCAAAAGCAGGGACTCCTTCCAGACAATCCCAATGGCGCAGAGCCCAGGTAGTAACGTAAGTGACATTTCAGAGAGGGAAACCAAACCAGACAGAGGCAAAAACCACAAGTCCCTGACGTTACCAAGCCGTGTATTTCCTTTCCAGCTTACTACCTGGCATGGCGTGTACCAGCAGATGTGACCTTTCTTAAGTCTCTCATGGCAAACCTGAGTCACTCTGATGCGCTTCTAAGTCACAGGAGAATGTGAAGAGAAAATGCAGGAGATAAAGGATCTGGGGTAGCCACAGTAGTAGAAACTTGTCATGTATTTGCAGGGGAAAACCAAAAAAAAGACAAAGGAGGAAGTGAACATAAAAAGCAAAAACTTACGGACCTGTGGTGGTTTGTTTTTTTTTTTTTTTTTTAAGTACAATAACTACTGAAACACAGAATACATGTTAACTGCCAAATCTGCAGTCTGAAAGGAGTGTTCAAGAACTGCAAAACTCAGCTCATTTATATAATTTCTTCCCAATGGGGTTCTCGAATACCATCTGTTCTTGTCCTAATCCTTCTCCAAAACTGAATGCAGCAAAACAATAAGCAAAACAAACCTCCATTTAAAATAAATAGCCTTGTTAAAACTCCAGGCAGCCACAGGTGATAGGCTCACATGTAAGACAGAAAAAATACTGTAGACAGAAATCCCAAAGACAAGAGAGGTTGGTTTTTTACTTGGTTTTCCTCCTGGTTTTTTGTAGCAATCTGACCTAGCCTCTGTCTGTAGCTAATTACAAATGTAAGGGGCTGGCCAAGTGGCCTGAGCCCATGGCTAGTGCAGTTGAAAAGGTAAATTATTAATGAAAAAACAGTGTTATTCTCACCCAGAAATACAAAATTATAGGAAATATTAATTTTACAGATGGTTCTGAAAACAATCAAGAGGCCAAGTTTTAGCGACAACATTCATGCAGTTTTGCATGTGCTTAAGTGACTTTCTGAATCTGGGCTCTGTGGCAACCAAGATGCATTTAATTTACAAATCATACAGGTTTACCAAGTACTCTAATGGCCAATAAAGTTCACACTAAAACCAGAGTTAGCATCAGTTTGCAGAATAAAAGAAGGACTGACACCTCAGCTTACTGCATTACACTGGAAAAAATTTCCAGTACAGACCTATCTTTATCTGCTTAGATGAAGCTGCGCAACGTCGACTGTGTCTGTCTCAAGTGCCTGAAAAAGGGGAAATCTGAATGGTTGAAAAACAGGAACTCACTTTGTGACACAGGCCCATACCTTTGTGAAGGGAAAGTTTCATTTCTGGCACATAGGAAGACAAGCGTGGGCAGAAGGCAGCATCAATTTGTTCAAGATTCTCTGCCCATTTTTAACTACTTTCTGCCCATTTTAGGGAGGATTGGAACAAAAAATCCAAGCAAATTTTTCACCGAAGAGAGACAAAACTCAATATGGCAATAACAAAAAAAAATATTATTCCTTTATTTAGAATGAAATATCTACATTAGTTTATTTAAACCAGCAATGTACCAACACCCAAATCCTCAAAAAAAAAAATCAAATCATAAATGTCTCCAATCCTATCAAATGTTACTAAGGTTTAACTCTTCTGATAGGATTATATGTCTCGACACAGTGATGGGATGGAGCTCTACAGCAGCACAGCCTGCCTCACAGGTACGCATTAGCGCAAAAGCCAGCAATGACAGCCTGTGAAGCCTTGCTATTACAGACCTTCAGCCACGCGGCACGCTGAATTGTCTTGTCTTCAGTTTTCCAAATGTTGATGAGCAAATGCAACTTGCCCTCAGCTATCCTACCTCTGCTGTGCACTTCCAGGGCCAGTATCGGCTCCTTCTTCAGCTAGAGAGAACCCATGCCCTAGTTTACAGGAAATCTCCTCATCGGGAGGCTGTAGGAAGGCACAAGAACACAGCGTACCCGGGCACCTTCCTCTGCACCTGAGCCAGAGGGCAGAAAACAAGTAAGATTCGTGGAAACAGCTGATGAGCCCACACCACAGAGGAGCTCTGCTGCCAGAGCAGCACTTCTGTCAAGCCAACAGCTCATCTGTTCCTGTGGGCTGGGTTTTCATCACATAACCCACAGCCTCAGATAGCTCATTAGTTATCTGCACCTTGCTCGGTTACATGGAAACACGGTACTTTATCGCCTCTGAAGTGCAGCCTACAAACTTGATAAGCATTGTTTCCGAGAATTTGTTGGGTGTTCCCTGGAATGCATTTCTCAGATTCATCCATTGCACTTTGCCATCCAGTTCACTGCAAGATGACAGCGTTCAGGCCACAGCATGCTTTCAAAGACCTCTATATTCACAACAGTGGCTCTATGTTTATGAAGGGGCTGAGCCTTATCATCTTGAACGTCCCAGCAACTCTCAGGTCAGAACTGCTGTCAGACCAGATTTACAGAGAAAAGCACTACACACAACTTTCTCAAGTCGCACAGAAAGCCAGGGACAAGGCAGCATGTGAACTCAAAGCCCGCTAAGCCACACGATTGTACTCTCCAATCACACACATCATACACGTGCGTCTACCTGCCACCACACTTTATTTCAAAAAGTCACTGTCACACTTCATATATAATACAAATGTTTATATACATTGTATATGCATTTCAAAATAGGAAATCATTGCTAAGTGCACCATATGTATAACATATAAGAAAACATATGTTTAAAAACATGTTTCTAGACACCAGTTGTATTCTTGAATACATTTCCTGCTGCATATTTTGACATATGCTTTGGTACCATGTATATAAAATACCTATCTCTAATGAGTTATCCACTGAGGAGTTATATTTGAAGTGAAAAACACTTCTGAATTATGTAAGTTGCAAGTTTACTTCTTCCTGAACTTTTACACTGAGGTGTTTAAATTACATCAAAAGCTACTCACAACAACACTTCAAGTTTCTCTCAGATACTAGATTTTGAACTTGCCATCTAAAATTTGAATGCCTTCCAAAACTACAGACCAATTAACTTGTGGAAAAACATTACAGAAGTAAAACTCATTTCATACAGTGTACAGGCAAACAACTGCATATTTTAACTGCACAGAGACCAAATCAAGAACACTTCTTCAGTTCCGAATGCAGGTTCCATTGACAACATGCACAAGGTGATCACCCAGATGAACGGTCAGAGCATAGTTTAGGTATCTATCCACTGTTGCATGATCTTTGCATGTCTTTGCTCAAATGCAACCCTTGAAGGCCCAGAGAGTTCAGCTCTTGCCTCTTATCAACAGAGAACATCTGAGGAGTTAGTCTTTTCTAAACCATCACAAAAATTCTCATTCATCAGCAGAAAAACTCTAAATGTCCATACACATGCTCCTAAACCTAAGACATAAACAGACTTTCCCCAAATCCAGAGCACTGTCTGGAACCAAACTTGCTTGTAGCTTTCTCCCTGCAACCACAACAAGCAATCAAGTCCCCCAAAAGTGGTTTAAGCTAAACATTTTTACTGTGGAGATGTCCAAGCTTGACTGAAGCAGCCTTGCTGATGACAGACACACCGGAGTAGTCAGCACAACAAGATGTCCACCAAGAGGAAGCACACAGCGCACCAGTTGCACAGGGCTTATAGATAAAATGTTAGTTGTACATGGCAACTTCTAAAATTTACAGTGCAGACAAGTGGTACTCTACCTTTCCCCCTTTATTTTGAATGAGTTTCCACTAATAATGTTCTAATCAGAAACTACCATTCCCTTTGCCTTCTGGCAATCCACATATTCTACTTTCCACACACATGAAGATCTCCATGGAGATTTCCAAACGCCTGGAGATCTGGAGCTACCTAGTGACCATGAGTAATTCCATTTCTTGGCCTGACAATAGGGATACTGCTCAATAGGTTAACATCACATTTTTTCAATGGGTATGCCTGAAGAAATGCAGAAAAGAGAGAAGTGGCATTGAACAGCCGTCTCTCAACAGTCTCTTAACAGTTGGCACCAGAATTCTGGTGCTATTCTGGTGCACGGCCAGCACGAGAGTTATCAGCAATGACAACTGTCTCTGGAGGCACAGCTGACATACACCACTCAACTTGATCAAGAAGAAAAAACTTGGAAAAAAAAGGAAGCACAAAGGAAGCTGGGTAGGTTCATCAGGGGAGATTCTCCACCTAAAGTGAGGAGAGTTCATTTGGGAACTAGACTGAAACACTGGAGATACCAGCACTGAGAGAAGAGAGACGTGCTCTGCTTAGCATCTCAAAATTGTAAGACAAGATATAAAAATCAGTCATAAAGCAGGTCTTTTGATTTCCCTGTTTTTCTGTCTGCTCTTACTGCTTCCTAAAAACTTTCTTCAGCCCAAAGACAATTGCCTATCACTACATACAGAATTGGCTAGAGGACTATATGCACAGAGGACTATAGCAACTCAGTCCTGGCAACAGGGATGCTGTGCACAGGATCTGCCTAAGAGAAAGAACCACGTGATTCCACCAGTAGCAGCTACTCCCATGGGTCCTGATGCCAAAGGGGCCACCCAAAGAGACCAAAAGGAACTGAGGTGCAATTAAACAGTTACACACACCCACACATATAGCCACAGAACACTCTGTCACATTACTTGTTACAATCGATCGGCTCAGAAATGCAGGAAACAGTTAACGTAAGGTGGAGTCAGTTTTTGATGAGACTGGAATTGGAGTCAATTTGTTCTTCCTGGATAGGAATTCGAAAGCTCCTTTCTGAAAGACAGATAATAAAAAAAAAACAACTGTAAAGAGTAGAAGGGGCAGGAAAAGGGAAGCCTAGGACTTTCCCAGTTTCATGGATGACTGGGCACCTATGAGTGACATTGGGATTGGTGGCTGTCTTTCCAGTCAGTGCTAGGAAACACCAAGTGAAAATACACTTTACCATTGCTCTATGAATGGAACACGAGGCAGCTGTGGGCTGACTCAAGAGCCAGGCTGCCACTTAATTCTGAATACAGAGTTCAGCTCTTCTCAGTCAAAACTTTCCTGTGTTTGCAGAAGATGCTTCAAGACAGTTCAGTTCTATGTAGGCAAAAAAGTTCACAATATACTCTTTAAAAGACTGTTGATTCTGGATCCTCTCTGTACTGAATAGAATTCCCTGCACAAAATTACTGCATCATTTTTGCAGGGACTAAGGGGTAAAAAAGCAAGGAGCAGATAAAATCAGAGAAAGAGAGAGAGAATCCTGCTGCATGGCAACAAGCAGGGAAATCTGTGCTGTATAAGAATGCAAACTTGAGACACTATGACCTCCAGTGCATCTAGACTAAATAGGGGATCAGCCACTGGTATTAACTGCAGATGACACTGTGCTACTTAGCCAGGTAGACTTCATTATAATTTAAGTTTATAATTGATTTATTATCAAAGTTCAAATAGGGGGACCTGATTATTCTCTTTCCTGTACATTTTTCCCAATAAACTCACCCTGGTGGTTGTTTCTACAAGGTCTCCTCTTGGTCTGTTTTTTGGCTGCCTGGATAATCAACAGGAGGATGGACGTTCCACTCACCATAAGCAGTATCAGACAAATAAGGATAAGTGATAGAGACCCTGGAAGAAAAAGAGAAGAAGAATACACTAAAACAGATTCACCGTTCTAGCTGGGGTTTCCATGGCTTTCCAGCTTCAAAAGAAGGAACCTAGAACTCTAGAAGCACCCCTGAACCTCAAAGCCTAAAAGTCCCAGCTGCCAAGCAGACTAGCAAGAAATCCGGAATCCTGTGCGTGTCTCACTGAAAGACTGTAAAATACAGATACGGCTTCTGAAAAAGAGTGTGATTTCATTTCCAATGAAATCAGTTTCAGGTGAAAATACCCAACCAGCTCTAGTAAACAGAGAGACTGGACTTGGTAATTCTCTCTCCTTACCCCAGTTAGTCTCTGTGGGGCTGTTCATATCTGGGCAGATGAACGGAATCACACTGGGTCTTGATGGTGAGACCACCGCAGTCGACACATTATTCTTGTGGTCAGTGGTGGAAAGATTGAAAGCAGGTGTTGTACTCTGAGAGGCAGCTGGTTCTGTGATGTGGTTGCTGCAAACAGCATCATCTGTTTTTGTCCCTGGTCGAAGAGTATTCTTCCCAAGCTTGCTGCAGCTAGAGAAGTAAAATTAGTGTCATTTTTCAAACAGTTGCAGTAACGACTTCAAAAGTGATCTCCATGGAACAAGTGAGTGAACATTACAACCCTTGTTTTATTAATACAAACTCAGGCTTCGCCTGTCCTAGATTCTACAGATATGTGAAGAACAACTAAGCTAATCGAACTTATTACTGGAAAAAACCTGACATTCTGTTTTTCTTGGCATCTGTACATGTAACAGCCTTGAAGCACAGCTGCATTTGGCAAAGGAACCTTCTGCTACAGAAACAAAACATCCAGACCTTAAAAAAGGCTGAGAATACTGTTGTTGCCATAGGTGAAGACGGAAAGGGCGGAAGGCAGACAGATACTTCAAATCAGTACACAGACTGCTCAAGGCTCCTGAAAGTCACGAGGAACATGGTTTCATTGCACCTAGTGTAGGTTTACTCTACACACCATGATTTGGGCATCAACTGCTACAGAAGTAAACCCAAAATGTTGCTCTGAACGTGTTTGGATCAGTGATACATACTTGGTCCAAGGTCGACAGTTTTCATTTCCCCCTATGGAGTAAGATCCTTCAGGACATTGTATGCATGCTGGAAAAAAAGGAACAGACAGAATTTGAGTTCAGTTAGCAACATAACTGTACAACAGCTACATAGTAATTACATGAATAGCTTTTACTAGTAGTCTAGCTTATACAACAGACCCATTGAAACTCACATAGCCTCTAAAAACCACAATCATTGAGTCAGAAGGAACACAACGTGGTCAATGGTTCGTTTTATTCTGCAACTGGCAAAGTTTCCCATTTTCTCTACTGGCTAATTATGGATATAACAAGGAGAGCATTAAGATTTCTGACAGCTCAGGAATCACAGAGCAGCAGTTTGCTCAACTACCTTGCTATAACACTTGTGTGGAGATATCAATGAGGCAAATGACAACAGCTTTTACACTAGAAATAACAACCATCTCATCTGAAGCGGATGCAAGGGTTTGGAGAGTCTGACACATCACTAACTTACCGCTTCCCAGTGTGTATCTGACATCTGGCATGTAACCTGCAACACACATGCAAATTCTGTCAGAGGTCTTCTCACACTTCTTCACTTCCACACTCCCCTTCCCTAGCAACAACAGAATAAAGGGCAAGAGAGAGACAAAAAATAAGTTAAGAAAGAAAAAAAAAGAATTAATTACGCAGTGCCTATCTGTCGTGTGTAGAAACAACTGCAGAGAACAGTTTATTAATTCTGAAGACAGCAGTTTTCAGGTAGTATAAGCCTGCTTCTCTTTGAAGGCTCTACCATCAGCAACAACCAAGAGACGTCAGCTATTGAAATGATAACCCAGTCTTTGGACTTGGTCGTCTCAAGGGACAGGCTTTATGACATCAGCGTTCGAGGAGCACGCAGAGGTAAGAAAGTGTATGAAGACTGACTGATTGACTCCCAAATTCATATCCAGAAATGACCACTATACAGCTGAATTACCTGTGCTGCAGATTGTACAACTCTTGCAGAAGTTGTGGTTGTGCTCACTACTGAAGTATTCATCTTGACAGGGGGCACAGACTGTGTCTGTTGTTGCAGTGCAGCGGCTTCTCATTCTTTCACCTAAAAGAAAGACCACATAGAAGAAGGAACTGACCGTTACCAGAAAGAAACCCTCTTCATTTTCATTCATTAGAATGAAAGAATGCCCAGAAAGTGACAGTTCCACTTACAACTCTGGCTGAAAACATTCAGCAGATTTAGACATGCCAGAATCCCTAGAAGTTTTGACCCACAGCATCACAGTTAAATTAAGCAGCTAAAATTGGCTAGCAGGGGCCCGATGGCTTGCTGAGAGTTGCGGCAATGCCCCAAATGATTCTCCCAGTGGATTCCAAATATCAGTTCTCCAGACTACCTTTTCATATGGTTTAGACGTCACAGTTTGCAGCCAATGTCCGTTAGGAAAAAAAGCAGGTTTTTAGCATAGCAATAGGTCTAACCTCCAGTGTAATAACACAGCTTTGTGACAGATCCGGTCTTCCCTTATGAGATAAATCATGCAATTCAACTCAAAGTAATCCCAAACAGGTACAAAAGATGGCAACGGATGCCTCAGGTTTGCAGAAAATTCATTAGTGAAGCAGTCAAAAATAAATGTTTGTAGTATCTTTCTGTTGGCATTCTGAAAGCCCATTAGGCATGAAAAAAAATACGGTTGTATTTTTGAATATGCATCGGTATTGGCACCCAACAGCATCAAAGATGTTCCTAGCTCCATGAGAGACAGCACAAGGTGTGAGGCAGGCATTTGTTCATTATTCCAAACAGTACATGTGTACCACACATCGCACTCACAAACAAGCTCTGAATGCTTGCACCCACAAATTCCAGCCTGTATGACACACAGTACTTACACGGAAGTTCAGACTGATGTGCAAGGTTTGTGAGCAAAGCTACTTGCCCAAATTGAAACAGCAAGTTAACAGTGGATTTTGGAAAAGGCATCAGGATGAGTTCCTTCTATCTCACTAGCTTCTCTCCATACAGCACAGGCTGCAGGAACTATAGACAGCTTTAATGACTAGGGATTTTTACAGTTGAGCTTAAATACATCCTTATTCTCACAGACTGTTTCTTTAATTTTGGTTCTCCATTTTCCCATTCTGTAGATGAACAATGAGCACCAAGTCTCTTGCTCATTCTAATTTTTTCCGCATTTTGTTGAGTGCTACCAGTAGCAAAACACAGGAGATTGTTAGTGACCGCAATATATGCAATACACTTCTACATTTTTACTATCTATACAATCAGGAAGAGACTATGAAGAAATGCTTCCCCAACAGCAGCAGATTTGCTAACAATGCAGAAAACCTGACAGAAGTTCTTTCAGTGTCAGGAGGAGTGAAAAACTTCAGAGATAAAGGATTATCTGTATTTGCATACAAGTATGCCTTTCTTTGAGTTCAAAAACACTCAGATTTAAATAGTTTAGCAAATAATGCAATAAACTGCCTCAAGTCTTCGATTAAAAGGTGAATTTATTCCAACTAGCATCTTTGAAAATAATACTATTGCATCAGTTCATACCATAACCATTTTGTCTAGTAGACTTAATTACAAAACAGAAAGTTAACTATTCTGAAAGATGCACATAAAAACCGTATGCAAGATTTTAAGTTGCAACTGCATTTACAGACATGATCTAGGCTCCCTTTAGGTGTGTACGTGTAGTACAATCAATATTGACTGTACTATAAATAATCCTTCTGTTAAGGGGGATTGCCCCTTGAACAGCAATATTACCTGTTAATTGTTGTCACTTCTCACCACTAAGTCATTTCTATCATGAAATCCCAACTATTAAAGTGTTTGAGGTTTGATATTTTGCATTTGTGCTTCTCAATACTGCATTGTCTTCAGAGATACTCAGATTGTGGAAAAAACCACACATGCATGCAAAACCCAAAATTCAGACTCATTCAGTTTCTACACTAACAAACACATTTCCTGTCAAGTTATGCTTTGCTAATCTCTGTCTATGAATCAAGCATATCTTTTTCCTTAAAAAAAAAAAAAAAAACACCAAGCCTTAAGTAGTACAAAACTTGCTACAAAAGAAAGCTTAAAAAACATCTTTAGCAACAGAATTAATTACCTGAAGTTTTCCATTATTATGCAAGATTTCTGAGCTTCTTTATGTGATAGGTACAGAAACATAAACGCTACCATCTTTTCTCAGCTAATACTCTCACAATGAAAATGCACCAGACTGACACAATAAGGAAGCCAAGCCACACAAAAAGATGTTAAAGAACATGTAGCTCTTTCAAAGAGGAGGATTCCCAAACTTAGTATGTTATAGAAATAATCTTTGTCAGTCTAGACTGATACCAAAGTCTCCTCATCAAATGCTTTTTCTCCATATTACGCTTCCTACATTTGAATGGTATTTCAATCGAGCTGTTTTCTACCATCTGTGGGTTATTAACTGGTAGATATTACACTGAGCAAGCATAACCAACATCCAGTGCAAATGACTTACCAGGAGCACAGTCCTTGCAGCATTTTTCACCAAAAGGATACTGATGTTCTTTGCATTTCAATCCCAAGCAATGGCTAATAGTGACCGCCAGCAGCAAGAACAAAACAGCAGAAAAACGCGAATAAAAATCTACAGCTACCATAATCCAGCCCTACTGTCCCAGCAAAATTCTGATAGCGGCAAACTCTTGGAGAAGTGATTCTAAACTGCTGGTGACGAGAACAAATTCATATGTCAGTTGCTGGGAAATTCCCAGCATGTGCTCCACGCCCCCATCCTTTTTCCCACACCTCGCAAGCCTATTTTTGCACAACTAAAATATTCATAGACAGAAAGACAGCATGCCGAATAGCGTTATGAAAAGATTTCTATTCATAGCCTTAAAACAGAGTGCCTCCAGCCAGGTACATACCTCTCTAGATTTAAAGTACAGGCCTTGAATGCCAGGAGAACTAGAAAAGATGATCCTTGTTATTGTAAAGAGGAGTATTAAAGCAATACAGAGGTAATGCCTGAAAACCTTCTCGGACGAGAGCCATAGGTAAAATGAAACATAGCCCACATAGGCTTCCTCTTTAAAAGGCAAAGTACAGACAGATTCTCTCGCCTTGGTCTCATGGTAACGGTAGACCCATGACTTCTATTGCTGCATAAAAAAACAACACTGTTAATACATTTCTCAGGGAGAGTGTGGAACCACAAATCATCAGTCATCTTGATATTGCCCTCAGGAGTTCGCAAAAGGTACAAATGAGAAGCATTTGCAGCCTCCATTTCGACTCTTAGCATCAGACTCCTTGCATCGCCATTGAAGAAAAGTAAGCTCCAAACTCCAAAACAGAGACTTTGTGTTACCCCTACCATTTGCTCCCACGGCAATAAAAGCTTCCAGCAGATGTGTGCTCTATGAGACCAACGGATGCAATATTCACATACCAGCCACTTTTGATGCCTGTTTTGTTCTGCAGAAGCATGTTAAGTCTGGAATTGAAACCCCCAGAAGGCTTCTCTATACAGCCGTGCAAGCCAGCAACAACAGGACAGCAACAGAAGAGGCTGAATAACAAACTGGTTTTGCAATCCTGCTCTCACCTAACGCAAGCATGTAGAGTAGAGAAAAAAGCAATCACAGTAGGAATTAGTGGGTTTAACTTCCCAGGCTCACTATTAGAATTTTATTCATTTAATCTTATTGATCTAGGATCTAAATTTTAAGTCTTCCAGTTCTAAGAGACTTGAGCAAATCTTATGCAAAGGCCCAGGTAAACAAGACATCCTACAGTAATCAAAGATGTTTTATTTATGTTAGTTAAAAAACATAGCCAGAATTCCCAGAAAAAGCAGATCTACAGTCAATTTACATCTAAATGCAAAGGAGATTTGATTGGAACAGAGGTACATTTTGAATCCCAATTAGCCTGCAGTATTTGGGAGGACTGAACAGCAATATTGTGGCATGTTATATCCAGAACTGCTGCTTTTCATTTCTTTCTTTAATTTCTATAAGACTGTTTAAGAGAGGAAGGGGAGATAAAAGTAAGGCAAAACAGTAACTATTTTTCTACTTCTCCTATTTTCCAAGCATTTTGGAAAACAACCACTATGGAAAAGAAGTTATACCTTTAAGCTATTTTTTCCAAAAGGGAGCAAAGCTGACAGAGCAAGTAAACCACACCAGCTGAACTTCAACTACCTTCATACTCAGTACCTGCATGCAGGAAATATCCAAATCTCTTCCCACTGTAGTATCACAGTCAATGCCATTTAAGTGGCTTTACGGTTCATGACTCAGTCATTCCCTCAGCAATATTCAACCAGGTTTCCCCCCCCCGCCCCAATTCTCTTTCACAAACAGTAGCAGACTTTACCTATTCAGTAAGTCAATTATTATTCTGTAAGAAACCGAAAATGCAAACTCCTATGATGTTCACAAACAAGGCAAGGTTAAAAATCTGCTATATATATTTAAACTGAAAACTCCTCAAATAATAAAGCAGTGATGATGAAGCACTGATATTCTTGTTAAGGGTACTTTAATACAAATTAAACATTCATTTAATAAAAGCAGTTAGACACATACCATCTTGAGAATTCAACTTTTACGTGTGGCATCCTTAAGCGTTACCAGGTTCGATATTGCCAGATTCCTCTACATGGCCAGATTATGCAAGTAAATAAAACAGAAAACATGGCGATTACCCCATAGCATTTCATATCTAGCACATTCCTTGGCTGGATTTTCAAGAATACAAATTAAACTCTCCCGAATGCTGCTTGGTATTGCCATGGGGATCACATGTACCACAGGCTGCTCCCAAAAACCAGCCTGGATGCAGGTACTCTGGTTGTAGTTGGAGAGGACAACATCAGAGTGGTGAGTTGAGCCACGCTATGGGTCAGAAATAAGGCTCCATCCTGCTTTTATTTAACATACATGTATCATTTTTGACTATAGATGCTTATCCTAGATATTTTATACAAGTTTTTGAATTCTGCAAAGATGTAACACGTCCATGATCTAGTAGCACTCAGATACTACTGACTCCTATTAACAGTAGGCAGACTGCTTGAGTACATGAAAAAAAACCAAACACAAAACAAAACCAAAAAACAAAGAACATGGAACTCAAAACTAGTGCATAATAAAAGGCTTTAAAGAAAAAGTCACTAGATTCCTTAGGGATTACAGGCAAGTAAGGGCTCCCTTACGGGAAAAGACCTACAAGAATCGGAGAAAGAGTGAATGCATATAAAATACTTGAAGAATTTTTAAAAATAAGTAAGTCTATGGACAAACTAGAGCAGTTTGAACTTCTAAAAATTCCAAGACAGGAACAATCTCATGTACCTCCAAATCTCACCATGCAGTCCACTTTATCCTAGCAGCTGTTAGTTAACATGTGATCCTGATTTCTGGCAGAGAAAAACACATTAAACACATTAAGGTGCAGAACTCCAAGCATACATTAATAATGGATTTTTCGCAGCTGTTTCTCAAGTTTCAGATTTATCAGGTGTGTGGCAAATACTGCAACAACAGTACATACTTGCAATATTTTTGCAGTTGCAAGCTAAATACTGTGTTACCTGGTACTCTTCAAGGGATTCCACACTCACATTACTAGAAGTTTAAACTAAGACTGTGTATGCATAATCTTTGCCTCTATTGACAGATAAAGTTCCAAATTTCATCATTATATTTCAGCTGCTGAAGAATCCCTCTGCAAACCTGCAGTTGCTCTCTGAGCATCAGGTGTGACAAGACAGACCTTGTCCACTCAAATTGCATCTAAATAATTGAATTGTGCAAACAACTATAGTATAACACAAGAATGCAGTCAGGACATTTATACAATGATCAACTAATATTGCTAAAACTGTTGCCTTAACTAGATGGCGAACAACCACATTGCAAAAGTGCACGTTTACACATATAATTTTGTGTTAGTTCAAAGCACAGGTCATTGCATATTTATGAAACCTTGGTTAAAACAACAGCAAAGCAAAACTTAGATCTTTTGCCAATCAATCTAGAACAGCCATACCTATGACTTCTGCTAAAGCACCACATTTTTAGACACAGGATTTTGTTTTGAATATTTCCAGATTCTAGCCATATTAAAATCTCTCTACCCTACAATCAAGTACATGTGGGGCATTGGTACAGGGGTGGAAGGGAATGGGGGCTGAAGAATGTGGCAGACATTCTAAGCTCATTTTAACACAAGATTATCAACTGAATTTACCCCGCTCTTACAAAATCATATTTTAATTTGTCTCTCTTCTGAAGAGTTTCAATTTTTCCCACTCACTGACAAACCTAAAACCAGCAACTTTTCCAGAGCACGGAGAAAAATATTTAATGAAAATAAGATATACGCATATAAAAAGACTCTGATACAAGCCATTTAACAAAAAAAACAACAAAAAAAAATAGAGAGGGAATACTGAAACAGACAGCAATACTTATACTTACATTATTTTAAGAGAATAAATTTAATCAAATATAACATCTCACTTGGATTTTCAGGCAACCCTTCAGAAAGAGGGGTTTTTACAGTAAAGATGGAACCAGAGTAAAAATAAATTTTCTATTTTAGACAGTAGTGGATATGACCCTTGTGTTGCAAGATGCTTTCAGAGATTACCCAAAACCAGACTGATTAAAAAGCTTCCAAGTGCTGACTGTACGTTGCTCTGGCAAAAGCAGTTCAAAAGCAAAGCTTGTATTTCCCCCAGCTTCTCATTCATGAGTTCATCAGCATCATTAATTTGCACAGTGGCAAGTAATTATACTAGTTTTACCAATGAATTTTAGTTAAGTTGTAATCATACACCTAGGTGAATCCCACTGCTCTGTCCAACATCTTTAAGTCCACAAAGAAACCTTTCCCATTGTTTCATTTTAGAATGAAATTTGATTTTAAAGACATAAGCAATCTCAAGTCTCTCACATTCCCAGTGCAGTTGCAAACACAAAACCTGTCACACTATAATCAGTTTTCTTTTTAAAGTAGACGCAGAACAGTTTCTCTATAACATTTAAGGTCTACGTACAGATATTCTCATGAGGTCAGAACACACGTATTTGAACCACAATCCCCTTTACAAAAGCCAACATCTTTCAATGTTATTTGTGATTTCCATGGATCAGCAGCTATGAGGGCAACAAGAAGAGTTAAAGTATTTAAGAAGCCTCCACCAAATATGATCAGACAAAAGCAGCTGAAACTTCAGCTGGCTTAACTGTACAACCCAGGGCGAACTGATGTAAGTCCAGTACTTGCCCCATTATTTGTGGACCTTTTTTTCCTTCATACCGAAGGCAACAGAGCTGTAGATCTTACGTATGGACGGAAGTTTAAGTCTAGGACAACACACTGTAGGCATATAACACAGATAGCAGCAAAGTAACTTTCTGTCAGTTTGGGGGTTGGATTTTTTTGTTGTGGTGTTTTTTTTTTTTTTTAAGTAAGAAAGTGCTTCAGAGCTCTGGAAAAGTGAGCAGGATCAGAACTCTTCATGGACGTTACGTGCATAGTCCATAAGCTTGCTGCCTGTGAAGTATTCACTGTATTTCAGAATCTCCTCCAGCTCTAAGTGATGGTTTTGATTTTCATCTGCTACTGCTATCATTTGCTTCGCTTCATTTAAGGCATTGTATTCATTCATAGGATCCATATATTCCTAAAACAAGTAAGAAAATAATTTTCAATCACTAAGCACACATTTCCACACATCAGAATTATGAACCTCAGCTCTATGAAAGCTTCAGCAATTACGAGACCAACAAAAGCCACCCCAAAGTGAACGTAAGTCATGCAAAAAGGTGTTAGCACATCTTTTTAACAGGCTTACATCTATCTCCTAGTTATTTTTCCATTCACTGCTTCCTTGGCTGTTCTAACAGAAATGAAGATTTTCTCAGCTTATGCCAGTGTATACAACAAATATTTTTGACATTTTGGTTGCAAACCAAACTCACTATCAAATCTGGTAGTTTTTGTGAAGAAATATCAATTCAAAGTTAAGAAGTGGCACACTACCGATCTGTATAACCTGAATTTTCTTCTTTCTGGAGATAATCTTTTTAGAACATGTTTGACTTAGAACTTTCTTGTTCTATTTTAAACCACCAGGCAGACATTACAGAGGTCAGAAGTCTCAGAATCAAAGCATTTTTCTCCTTCACCTAACTTGAAATACATTAAAAGTTTTCAAGCAGCACACTTTACTTCTTGAGGTAGAAGATTTGAGATTATCTTCAATTTCTTTCCAGAAGATGTGACATTTATGTGCATGCACCTATGCGTATACAAAGACTTCACAGATAAAACAGCTATTTTTAAAAGAAAATTCTCAGTAAAAAGGCTATTAACATTACCTATGTCACAATACAACTGTTTATCCGTACTACCACTGTCGTTCATACCCACACATTTGCATACTGAGAAGGTGAGGAACTTTAATGTTCACCCTGTCTCAGGGGGAAGACCGACATTTTAGAAGTTCTCCTTTGACACTGCCTATGCTGCAGTTTGAATTCTGCTAGTCAAAGTACATTCTTAAACCCAGAAAGGAAAAAAAGCCAGAAATGAGCCATGAGCCTCTTCCATTGGCCACAAAACTGCCACAACTATAAGGTGCAAAATATTTCATGTTGTTTAGTATACTCTTCTGCAGACAGAATTATTCGAAGAAAGCCTTACTTCTGCAAATCAAAGTCCAAAAAGGCCACAAACTAGAATCCACACTTGAAAGTAATAATTTTTTTTTTTTTTTAAGAAAAAAATCAACTCTGAAAGACAAGATATCACTACTATTTTCTAGGCTACTAGGGCCCCAGCACTTGTTGGTCGTTGGGTTTTGTTGGTTTCTTTTTTTTTTATGAATACATAGGTTGCCAGTTACTCCTTTTGCAACTGAAAGTATGACTCATTGTCCCATTAACTAGTGCACCTAATGAAGTCTGTGACTTACTTTCATGCACTCCACATCCATACAAGTGTACATGTGACAAAAAACCCTAAAAGCATACCTATGAATAACAGTTATGCTAAGAAAACTCCCCCTCCTCTTCAATAAAAAGCATAACAACACCATCTGCAAGCACTATAGAACAATACTATAATCCAAAGTTTTGTAAAGTAGACACCCACACCGCACTGTTAAATCAAATATCTTCAGATTTCATGTTTTCTAAAGCAGCTGTAATTCTGTATTTAAAAACCAACTATCAGTTTTAAAAACACTAGAACTAACTATTTGAAGAAGACTCACCTCCAGCTCTTCCATTGTGACAATGCCATCATGGTTAGCATCAATGACCTCCTCAAATTCCTTCCTTCTGTCTTTTACCCAGTCATCATCAATATCTTGAGCTTGTTGGTTCTCTACAGTACCAACAGGTAATGAAATGAACTCTGAAAGGGTAAGTTTCTTATCTCCGTCTTGATCTACAACAGAAGCACATAGTAACTGAAAAGTATTTGCTTAATGCCCATTAGAAATGAGAAATTCCTTCGTGTCAGAGATGTCATTGGTACAGTCTGCCTGGTTTCAGCAGTCCACAATCTCGACTCTAGCAGAGAAGAACAATAACCATTTATATCTTTGGTTAGCCAAAACCTCTCTGTATTACGGTACATACACAATGTTTTAGAAGGTTAAAAAAAACATACGCTCACCAATATACTGAAAAAAAAATTTTCTGGACCTGAAGGGCACACCAGGTGGTAAGCTGCGCATGTTGTTTTGGGTTTTGCTTTTTTTTTTAATTGTTGTTGTTTATTTTTTCAATAATCTACTGCAACAGGCTTTTTTTTACAGCTGTATCCAGTCTCCCCTTGTATTAGCATTCAGGTAAATTAACCCTCATAAAAGACTGCATACTGGAGTGTTCTGTCTGTGTGTCACACACTCAAGTATCACTGGAAACTCTTCATATTTATTAAGCTAACAACGAGCAAGGTCATAGACCTCTTTTCTTTTAATCCAGGTGTTCTAGCCATTTTAAATATGCATCACTATTGAGTCAAAAAAAGTGTGCCAATACGTATGAATTTAAAAAAAAAATTATTTTCTTAGAAACCTCAACCATTTATTTCCACATTCTTGACCGTACGTCACAATTCTTACATGGTTGCTGTACAGGGGAAATACAAAGGAATTAATGCCCTCCTCAAGGAACATTCACATCAATATATTTTATAGTACTTTACTACTCATCAAACCTTTTCTACTATTGCTACAGCGACCCTACAATGCAGCAGCACTTCTGTTTGAAGTAGTATCAGCTGATCTTCTCTGTGTGAAGTACTTAGAATATATTTCTAACATATAATCTTGTGTTGTTCTTTAACAACCAGAGACTAAATTTAGTCTTGAGATGCACAGACAACTCCATAGAGATGTCAGCATTTGTGTTAAGTTTTTCTTACTCATCATATTAGAAGATGTCTAGAACAGAGCAAACAAAATGTGCCAAAAATTTCAGATTAACCCATGACAGCGCACTGACCTAACAATGTCTACCCAATAAAATGGTTTGCAAGTAAAGAACTACCAAGAAACATGTTTTAAAATGGCATACCCAAATCTCGGATGATTTCTTTCACCATGAACTTCAGCATTCCCCTACTATGCTCCGGATGAAGAAAGGAGAGGAATTCTTCTTCGTTCAACAACAGATCAGGAGGTGGGTTGTCAGCTTGGTACCACCGATCCTTCAGGTTATCTAAAACTTCCTGTGCTAGAAATTTAAGAAAAAGATTTAAGCTATCATGTTCAATCTAAAGTTCTTAAAATATACCTTCCCCTGTCACTCAACATTTAAACAAGGATGACCTACGAACCAGTTATTTTACAGTTCAACTCCCAGGGAAAGCAGGTGCTGAGGGGAAACAAAGTCCAATTAGTTTCATCTAGTTTGTGCTGAAACACTAGGAAAGATCCTTTAACCAAACAAATGAACTGAAAGTAGATGAAAATAAAGATTTACCTACACCTGTATCAAAACTTCAACATATCAAGTGAAAAGTCTTGTCCTACAAGTATTGTTAGCTGGTTCTGGTAGGAGGTATGAATAATCCAACTTTGTTCAGTGCTTCTTGTTCTCCTTTCTTATTTTCATATTTTGAAGCCCACTACGAACAGAAATCTTTCACCTGCCTCAATACCAGTAGTATCTTTCTTCTCAAAACATCATTTTTGTTTTCTACTTCAATCCAGTCCCGCACATTGAAACAGCCAAAACACTCTTCAAATGCAAAATATTCTTCAGATTCATTACCTCCATGTATGGCAATTGTGACATTATACACCTAGTTAATATCTACAAGAAAGGAAGATTTCAACCAATTCTTTTCCTACTCAAATAATGACAGAACAACAAACCTTTAACATTTAGCACGTCTTCTTCTAGGACCAAATAACACGACTATATATAAACCTAGAAAGATGCCTCTGACCTGTGAAGCACCATTGTACTAATGGTTTGGCTAACAGCACTACATCGGTTTATTCTGCTCTGCATTACTTGTTAAGTTTACCGTAGGTCAGAAAATATTCTTTGTCAACACAGCAGTTCCAAGCATGATAAAGGGACACATTTTATCACTCCGATGTTACAACTTCTCTTATTTCAACCTGGCATTTCTTAGTGCAACATCATCTAAACCAAAACCAATCGTATTACTGTTGTTTTGAACTCTTTTCAGGTATGTTCAAGCTCATAGGATTTGAGTTAACAAAATGGTATAGTGATCTACTACCACAAAGGGACGATTGAATTACGTATACTGCACACAGTTTTAAGTGCAGAGGTTTTTTTCTGCAGCCACACTGCAATTCCAGATAGCACCCTCACCCTCCACGAAACTACATATGTGAATTAAGCTTAAGAATTGTATTAAACAGATTCTAAAAAAGAAAAACAAAAGCCTAGTTTTTACAGCACTCAACAATACATTTCAATGGACAACTGTTCTTTACAAAGCATCTGACTGAAAATGCAGTACAAGCAAAGCCATAAAGCAGAGCACTAGGAAAGCTATGAAGAGACTTCTGCCCTGCCTCTGCTCCTCGCTTCCTCCTTTACCCTGTCAAAGGCTCAGAATTTAAAAGAGTCGGCTACCCAGAGAGAACTCATATCCTTAGACTCAGACAGATCATCCAGTATTTCATCCTGAGAACGTGATTTGTTGGAACTATGAGAGATGTAAGAGGGTAGCTCTACAAAAGAAAGTTTGGAGACATCAAGAACAGATGCTAAGCTAAGCACCAAGAAACGCATTTAGTTCTCAGTTACTTAAGGATACAAGTACTTATTACTCCTTTTAACTACTTTGTCTATTCTATATCAGACAAGCATTCTGACTTCAGACCTAAACCCTGCATCTGTTTTAGTTATCACTATAATAAACTTAATAAAGGGAAATATTTTTGCTGCAAGGCGAAAATGGAAGTTGAAGTACACGGGCATGAAGAGATACATCAGCACCAAAATCACTTTACAATTCGACTTCTTTCATTTCATCTCACATCATGCAGACAAGCTCTTTTTAACTGAATTTTTCCTAAACTCAGCTGAGAATCATAATTTGTAAATGAGTTTCCACTAAAAGTACGCATCTAATTTCAAGAAAAAAAACACCCTGCAACACACAACGTGAATATTATGTGTACCTAGTGGTCCTGAACATAACCAAACAGGAAAAAAATACCTGTATAGAGTATTCTTTTTCTGGTGTAGGCATTTTCTAAATGACACATTGGAAAAAAATACTGTCTGTAGCACACCCTGCTATCTGCAAAATACACTAACAAACACAAATCTGAAGCATTTGCTTTTCTCAAGTTTTAAAAACACTCTGAAAGACTACAGTCTTCAGACGATAAACTTTTTTTTTTTTTAATTTAATAAACTGTCCTAAATAACTCCTGCATATTTCTGGTTGCTCAGTTACAAAAGGCAAAAAAAGCCTCACTCAACAGTCACATCTACATTTTTGAAATGCTAATTGCAATTAAGAGTTAAGTTTTCAGTGAATGCTTTTTTTGTGAAGAGTAAAGAAATTCTTCAGAATCTTAATATGAATCTTAGGGAAAGTTTGTAAATGGCAAGTTTTCGTTATAGCAAGGACACAAGTAAACACACAATAATCAAATCACTTGCTTATGGTATCCAGTGTAGCCAACCCCAAATGTTAGAAGTCATAAGTCAATCTCCCTTTGCCTACTTTTCTTACTTAGCCTTAAATGAAACTCAGCTCTCAGTCATCAGCTGAAACCGTCGTTATCTGCATAAGTTAAATAAAGTTATGTCCCTAGTTTTGGCCTGGCATCCAAACTGTAGTGTGCTTCTGTGCAAGAGTCAGAACATGCCTTAAGATCCACACATTCAGTTGTTTTTTACTATACAGATCGAAAAAGAGTACTTTTACACTGCACTAGAGTATGAAAATAAGTTTTGCCCATCATCCTCAGGAAGCGGTAGATAGCTAATTTGATTTTCCCAAACAAGGCTTGCTACCTAGGTAGAAAAATGATTATATACACACTTCCCTTATTCAGCAAATCTTTTATCTGATGAGCATTCCTGTAAACTGTAGTTAACCACACTGCCATAGAACATGCTGCACAGGTGTTTTCCCTGCCATAAAATTCAAAGGCCCATTTGCATTTTAGTTGCTTTTTGATAAATGGAAAATATAACATAACCCACTTTTAAATGACTAATTCCTGCAAGGAAAGGCTAAGGCTTTGTGTTTTACTTAACAGTAAATTTAAACTCTTTTAGACAGGGGAGGAGTGGGGAGATTACTCTGTTAAGAGCTGCCATCTTTACACTAAGCCAGATTCAAATGAAAGTTTCAAAAGCAGTAAGGAAGAAACAATCAATCAATCTCACTAACCTAAAGAATCAATCTCTACAGAGAGCCTAGATGAAACACGCAACAATTGTTAGGCAACCTTCTGCTATTAACCTCTAGTGTGCTTTGCAGTGCCTAAGCATGTACCTATTTAAACACAACACTGTTTGGCAGCACTTACACCCCTCCTCAGTTTTAGAACAGAAATCACGTATAGCAACTCCCTTGCATATGGAGCAACAGGGGACCTGGTTCTCACATCAACAATACAACAGTCCACAGACAACACAGCTCTGACATTTTAGCAAACTGTTAAACATAAATAACAGAAAACTATTCAAATAGGGAGTAACAAATAAGCAACCAAGTGTTAAGTATTTACATCAAGAGTGTTGGGAAGACAGATTTGAGTTGGAAAGAAATCTAGTATTTCTGTCCTATGACTTAGACATTCTACTTTTGTGTAAAAGCAGAAGAACAACTGAAACATTCATCTTATACTAAGAACAGTGTTGACATTCAGGCTTTAGGAAGGTAAAAGAAAAACCGACACACACCAACGGTCCGTACTTACTTTCTTCATCTATTTTCAACTCTTCATTGTTTCTGATCTTCTCTGCAATCTCTTTTTCATTAAAGCCCTTACTTGCCAAAAATTTAATTTTATATTCATCCCAGGACACATGGCCTGTAAGAAAGAACCATCTCAGACATGACATAGTATGCTTAAATGATGAACTTTTTGGTCTCATTACTTAAAACAGTACATGCTAAAATCTTTTAGTTCAGCACTATAACCATCACGCTAACCTTCATGAACAGCAATATGAAAACTATCACCTGATTCACTTTTATGTTTCTTTAGACCAGACGGGCCTTGTGAAAATCACCTATTTATGTCACCGTCCTCATCCCATCCCTGGCAGAGCCACTTAACTTGTAATGATTTCCTACGACCACAAGTGAAATGACACAGCAGTCAACACATATCTACAATGCTGACAGGAGCACATTACTTTATTGACTTCTGTATGGATCAAAACTGCTGCAATTAGGTGCAGTCCAAAGGAACCCGGATTTTGTCACAGCACATCTGTGCTAGCAGTCAATAGGTTTGGCTACTAGCAACTGACTTAAGATGTCGTGAGGAGATGGAGGAATCGTTCATCTTACCATCACCATCAGGGTCCACAGCTCGGAAGTGCATTTTATTCTCTTCTACAGCTTCCTGGAAATGTTCATCTGTCTTTTCCATGATCCAGCGCTGCATCTCTTTCGCACCTATCTTTTTATCATTATTTATGTCCACCCTATGGATGAATAGCAAACAAGATTTAGGTTTGGGGATTGGGGGTGGTGGTGGTGGTATATTTTTAAATTAAAAATTAATCACTTTATTCAACAATAACAAACATAGATTGCTATAGAAAAAAAGCATATTTATAACTGTCTCTGAGAAGCTGTACATTCTTTAAACTACAGAGAAACAAGTAGCAAGTTAGCCATTTATGTCATAATTAAATTTAAGTAACTACAGCACCTAGGTTATTACTCAGTGAAACACATTTAGCCATACTTCACTTTGCTGTACATTAACTCACTTCAATATTATGTTCTTGAGCACATTTTTAAAGCAGAGGAAACCACAAATACACCACTCATGGCGTATTAGCTCATTTCCTATTGGTTCAGAATAGTTCGCTGCCAGGTGCTGCAGACTTTCACTACTTTGAAAAATTTCTACTCTAACATTCTCTCAAAACATTAATTCCCTGTCAATTTATCCTTCCAAGTCCTTTTTACCTTGATCTTCCAAGATCTCTGAAGTTTACTGATGAGCTGCCTCCCTGTATCTGCCTAGATCACATCACAACTGTCATAACCATTAAAAACAATGAAAATATAACGTGAATAACCTTGGTGCAAGGACCTTCAAACTATTTAATATTTTGACTGTAGTACTTGTAAGTGGAAAAAAACAACTTTCCTCTATTATATCTTCATCTCTGGTAACATGTTACAGCTGATACTTTTGAATTCGTAACACATTTAAAAGTTCTGCACATGCATTTGTTCTCCGTTAGGTTTCCGAGTTATCAAGCTCACTTTGCTTTGTCAAAGGATATGCTTGCATTCAGTGCTATTGAGCTACAGAACTAAATTTTTTCTACCTGACTAAAATTATCAGTAAATGTCCAATCTGACAACCCACTGTTCTCCTTAATGTACTACCAATACTGCTTTATTGTATTAAGATACACTGCCATACCATCAATTTCATTAATGTTTATTTCATTAAACAGTAGTTAATATGGAAATTACAGTTGAAGAACAAATACAAAACCAGTATCATGCCACTAATTTTTTTTGAGCACATCATTAAGTATTTATTTAAAAAAACCCCACAAAACAATATTTAAAACTGAAAAGACAACACATACCAAAACCCCTCTCATTCAACTAAAGAAAAAAAGAAAACATGAAAGAAAAACACAACAAAAAACCCCAGCTTGATTCTAGCTTTTTTATCTGTTTGTATCACTGTCTTAGCAGTACTGAAGTGTTATCATTGAAACTCAAGTTATTAAATACGTGATTTGCCTTTAAATGTCAACTAAATGTTAAAAGCTTAAGCCAAATAACAACCGTAGCACCTAATTTTCTACAACACTTAGCTGTATTAATAAATGCAGTATTAGCGGTTTTAAATATTGTATCACATCTCTCCACATACATATGCACAGGCTGAGTAATAGCAACTTTTCAGTATCAATGGCAAGACCACTAAAACGGCCGTGTTCCACTTGCACCACCTTGCACTTACCAGGTGAACAAATGTGAGTTTTGATATGGAACAGGTACCATAACAAATGAGCAGGGAAAATCAAGCATTTTCCCCTCAACATTTAACATTCTAGTTTCCTTCGTTCGAAGTTTTCAAACTTACTACTTCCAAGTTGTACTTTCCACCTAAATCACATTGTAACTAGGGAGAAAGTAACAAACATCCCATTTATTGATCTTCCACCTTTGTTCCGCTATCACAGTTCACAAGAAGTCTCCAGTGACTCAGACTTTCATGAGCTAGCAGGCATCCAGTATACAAGGTGAGCTGAAATCTCTTTACTGTCCATAAACAGCACTTCTGCTTTTGAGAGGAATATTGACAACTGTAGGAAATACAAGATATGATCCTGCAGCGAGGTTAGTATCTAAGGCAATAAAACCAAAAGACTGTCCATGCTTCTTTAGATAACACCCTCATTCAGAGCAGGCTACTGAAAACATTTCCACTAATAATGACAAGCTTAGATAATTACATGTTGCTGAACAACCTAATACTGGTAAGTCACAGAAAACTGATTTTATTACACGGTGATGGGCAATCAGTTTTCTGAGGCAGATAGGCCTGAACACTCGAAAGATGTTAGTAAAGAGTGGTACATTCTAACGCACTCCTTAAAAAAAACTGCCAAAGAATAAGTACTGGCAAGAAAGAATTTAAGTTCAAGAAAACAAGATGAATCCAAGCAAGAATGTCATCCCAGATTACAACGTTGCTCAAACTTTCCTTGGCAATCTGTGTATAGAAAACTTGTGACATTTTCTCAAACTTCATGATATACCAGCTCCAAAAACCAACCAACCAAAAAAAAAAATCTTGACTGCTCTTCTTCTACAAGGAGCATAGCTTTCAGCTAGAGAGTGCCATCTCAAATTTGTAAAAATTTAGGTATATGACGTACTACTTCCTGAAGTTACAGCAAAGAAAGTTTTTGTAAAACCAGGAACTACTGTTAACATAAGTTTGAATTAAAAAACAGACTACAGAGAGCAACTTACCTTATTGCTTACCTGTCTCATTCCAAAGAAAATTAGATAAACCACAGCCCAGACAGTAGTTGATGTAACACGACAAACACCATTAGGATTTACACATTTCAGTAATGGGCAGCATTAGACATAACAGCTCCTTATAATGTCTAAGTTCAAGGTTAACACTTCACTGGCTAGTCAAACTACATTTCATTATCTATTCAGAGCCTAAATCTCAATACTACCTTTGAGTAAGAAACAAGCAAGTATGCTACTCTGTAGGATAACTGTAAATTTTTCCTTAGCAAAGGCCTTACAAAAGTAAGGGCTGCACTGAATATAGATGTCAAGCCTGGAAGAACAGGTTTTAAACACTTCAGCCCAGTTTCTCAACCACAAGCCATTATAAATCAGATTTTTGTGGCCACCTTTCAGAAGGCCCACATCTGAACGTATTATCAATAAACATCGTCTATTCAGGTTTTCAGACTCATGTTTTCAGGTTCCTAAATGACAGTGCTGCAATGCTGCCTGAGGTATTGGGGGGAGCAGGAAGGCAGTGTTCTTAACTAAAGGACTAAAGATGACAATTTCCTGGAGCACCTAATGCATATCACTTTAGAGTTGGTTTCCATTTCATCCAAATAACAAAAAGCAGATCCAGAAAATAATTTTTAATAACAGAAACCAAAGCAAAGCTCTACTTTACATGGTAGGAGATATGCAAAATTTATTAGATATATATTTAAAAGTACAGGTTAGGAAAAACCCAAATCAGTGCGCACACACTACTTAAAACCTTCCGACAGCATACACCATAAATAGTTTTTTAACAGAATAATACAAACCTGTAATCTAAATTGAAGATATCAAAATAGGAAAGCTTAAAATGTCCCCTCTCTTCATTCTTTATTCTACCTGCTGTTGTCCAACATCAGCTGTCATTACTAGCATCTTCCCACCACAGACAGAAAGCACACTAGTAGAAATGAATACTGCGTTAGGCTATGAGACAAACCTGAAATTAAGAAATGGGGCATGGATCTTGCCAAAACCACTCCCTCTGTGAGGCCTGAACACAAACAGTCACAGTTGTAAAGTCTAAGACAGCTACACTTGCAAGCATTGTGGGATTCAGAATGAGTTCTGCTTTAGGAGATTATAAGTTTCTGACTTTTAAACAAGGGGGAAAAAAAAACCAAAACAAAAAACAAAAAAACCCTATGTACATGGTAATAGCTAACAGGTGTATTTAAGCCTGTGACCTGATGAATGACCATCAAGGTAGAGGCACTCAGCTAACACAAAGATTCTAGTTTTTAAATACCAACTAAGGCTGCCACTAAGTAGCTGAAAACATCAGCAAAATGCAAATGTTAGAAGGGTACTCAACTTTCAAACTCACAGAGGTAACTCCATCACCACAAAAACACCCTGACAGAAAGCCGCACACGTTACATTCTCCTGTACTTGAATTCATCAGTTTTGTTCAGTACATGTAATTCAATTTCCAAGACAACTGACCCTTAGAAGCAAGGCTCAAACGGAATTCTAGTACCCAATGCCATTGATTGAGCAAAATCAGAATCACCATAAACACTTGATTCCTTTGAACATCCTTCCTCCTTCCCTCCCATCAACACCTACCTACACAAATTAAACTACATCATACAGTAAAACAGAAAAATCTACCGATTCCCGGCTAATTTAAACTATCTCAACGGGTTGGGTTTTTTTTTTTACAATTATGAGGAGTACAAGAAGGAAGGATGTCAAGTAAGCCCCTCTCACAGATGTTCTTGACCTGAAGGTACCTGAACACTTACCCTTGGCAGAGAATGAAGAATAAAAAGATGCACCCAGGATTTTCTGCACCATGCCCTAGTTTCACAGGGCAAAGTGGAAGTTCTAGTTAACTTGTAAAAAAACACTTCTGTAGGCAAGTAAGGCTTGTCCTCCCAGTAATGAGTGACTTCAGAAACTGAAATACAGAATTATAAAATGCCACTTGTTCTTTCAGTCACAGGTAGATTGCTTGCCTAGAAAAACATTGTTTGAGGACCTATTCTTCCATGTTTCAACTTTGTTTTCAGTAATCCTATTAGACAATAATTCATGTTTTGAATTGACTATATCATACTGGCACGCCATAGAATCTCAGCTTTCATTAATTAAAAAATACATTGTCTGTTTTATGCCTTCAAAGAAAATATTTCCAAAGCATCTGAAAGCATGTGACTTACTAGCTTTTCACATAATTTCACAGTATTTCTCTTTTCACTCAGCCTTTAAGAGTATGCCTAGAAAGCAACCAAATTCCTCAGGATGCTTTTCTACATTTCTAATCTGATCATCTGACAGAATGCAATTTTAAGTAAGTATGTGGGGGAAGTCGATCTTGAATCCAATTGCTTTAAGCTTCCCAAGACAACCTCTTTCATGACAAACAGGCAGAAATGAATGGAGTTTGCAATTTCTGAATGACAATTTACTAACCACCAGCTGAATGTTTCCAATAAACACACAGCAATAAAGAAAATGAAACCTTCTAAGCACAATCTTAGTATTTATATACACCCTACCAATTAAGTCAGTGGTCTGAATAGTAGACATAGTAATAAAGGATTCTACTCTAAATGAAAAAGGCACTCTGGTTTGCCTATTAGCTTTAGCTACCTTTACTTAGGAGAATACCAGAAAAAAAAAAAATCTAACGTTGTTATTGACGTATTTTCCCTGTTAATGAAAAGTTTGCAGAAAAAAAGCTTTGTTAAGCCTTCTCATTTTATCTCAAGTATACGGGCACCCCCACACCATCATCAGCATTAAAAGCACCAACGTAATTTAAGCCGTTCTAATAAAATTAATCCTTCATTGCAAAAATGCAAATAAAGCCAATTCTGCCACCTACTGTCTAAAAGTATGGACTGATTTTGACTTCCACTGTGTTTACTGACCTCCAAACACCTGACAGTTCATTAGCTGACACAAACCTTATCAAGCACAGAAAGTGCTTTATAAAAGGAAAAAGTGGTTTAATGTCCAAAAGTAGTTAATATTTTTACACCAAGTAAAGAGCTAGATGAAGTTCTCAAAAAGGCTACAAAAGAAAAATTTAATCTTCCTGTTCTCATGTTTCATTCTTCCTTTTTCTAAACTCTAAGGAACTAAACGCTTTGTTAACAACACTGCTAACTTAATGAAGCAAGCTGTCAATTTCTGAATTCTTGGTATGTGCAGTTAGGCATAATTATCTTTAATCTTCATGTATTTCATTTGAAACACTCAAATTTTAGACACTTAGCACCTACCAGAAAGTTTTATGAACAGAAACCAATTGTTAGTTTGTTTACCACAATCTTACCCTGTTGTTTGTCTGTCCCTTTTCTCTCCTTATGCCTGTACTATTGTCTTTTCAGTGTTTTTCCTCTGCAATTATTTGCAGAAGTCACAACAGAAAAAAAATAAGACCAAACAAGAAATAAGAAACTTAGATCGCCAACTGAAACCAAACTTACAGCACAGCAATAAAGCATAATACTGCTAGAGCAAAACTGGAACAAACTCCCACCCTCCCAATTCATTGCAAGGGTATCCTACCACTAAGGAAGCCCTTCCTTACCAATTGTTTGATCTAAAATACAAGTGTGATTGCTTATTCATTGAGCCAGGAAACCAGGAAAAAGCAATATTAATTTTCATACCTTGAGAGGCTACATAGGTTTTTTTCACATAGAAACAGTATGTTTTGTCATAAATGTTATTAGACCACAGCACCAATCCTGTATACTGATCGCGGCTCTCAACACATGCATTCTCACTCCTGAGAATGATTTATACAGGTCTGTTAATACCTTGATAACATGAACACAGTGCTCACAGTATGACGCTTTCCACCTCGTCATTGCAATTTTTAAATAGTACAGAAGAATTTGCAAATTTCACTCTGAAGATCAGAAAAAGTGGTTGCACTGTTCCTGGCAGTGTACATAACTTACTTTGAAAAGATGACCATGAGCTTCTTCCTATTTTTTCTGGGTTCTGAATCTTCCTCAAACTCCTCCATCTCTTTTCCTAGAAAAACTTCTTGATGAAACTCTTTGTTAAGATGTCCATCCATCTCCATTTTGACCCCATTCAAGTGATCTGGGGGCAAGATCTCATTCTCATCTTTACTGTCAGGTGGCTTTTCTTTGAGGGCCGAATTATTTGCCGGCCTTGCATAAACATCCATTAGAAGAAATACAAACAGAAGGGACAAATACAGAGATCCCAAACTGCAGAGAAAGGCCTGTCTTGACATCATCTTTTCCTTTTAATTCAAAATATTGGCTGATTAAGTGACTGCGAAGGGATTAAGTGATCTAAAAACAAAAAGGAAAAAAAAATAGGCAAATTAGAACATTATGTCATTAATAAAACATCTAAAATTCAGGAGAACTTACACACACAAACATTTGCTGTGAAAAAATAAAAAAGCCTGTTAAATAATAACTACATGACAACAAATTAATCTGTGTTAGTTTTCAGTCTGCACAATTGCAACCTCTGTCAGAGGACTTTGGAAGATAACACCCTTTCAATGGCCTAGTTCTGCTCTGAAAGCTGTCTTCAGGTGTTACAGCATGAGCTGAGCTGACCTGACAACTGAAACCCAACAACTTACTGAGAAATCAGCCCAGCACACGAAGCACTTAACTGTCCGAAGGCGCAGCCCAAGCTCAGCCATGGCAATGTCCCTAACACCAGCGCTGCACTTCCCAGCAAGCTGCAAAAACAGCCGTGACAGCACAACAGTTTACCAGAGACCTCAACACATCACCTCTTTAGAAACACTGAAAGACATAAAGGTCTTTTCGGAAAGAGATGACTGAGGGAAATACGATTACAAATGAAGCGGAGCTGGAATCGTACAGGAAACAGCCGGCAGGAAAAGCAACGCCAGGGGCGGAACCGTCATGACCTGCCGGCTGGGGCGTGAAAATCGCTGCCACCCACGGGTTTGCAGAGGGCAGGGAGAGGGAAAAGGAGCACAGCCCGACAGAGAGAGCCTCGAGGAGCACAAAATCCACAGACCCGCGAGGCAGAGCAGAGCCCTGGGCAGGGAGTACCCGCCCAGCCCGCGGCAGGACTCACAGACCGAGCGGCAACGGCGAAGTCCCGACCGGAGAGGGGGAGCCCGGCCGGGGCTGCCCTGCCCCGAC